AACAACTATTAAACCTTCTTCATTTGATCTTTGTGACCTTGAGAGTTCCTTCTTCTCATAGCCAGTGTTAAGGAAAAAAACACACACATTGAAACCTGTAAAGAATTTTTGTGAGTTTTATTTGAGCCAAACTGTCGACATGCCGGGAAGCAGAGCCTCAACGAGTTGAGATAATGCTCCGAAGAATGGCAGGTTACATCTGTATTTATACAATGCAATTAAAGGAGGGACATAGGTGGGTTACATAAAATTCATTGGTGATGGATTAAGGAGCTGGGATAAAGTCAAACCGTGGGAAACCCCTGGGATTGGATAAAAAGTAAAACGATGGACACATACTTCGGTGAGTGCAGGCAACATTAACATGATAATGAAGGAATTTGTGGTATCTGTCTTGGTGCCCAGCACATCTGGTTGAGCCCCAGGGGCTCCAGAAAATAAAAAAAAATTACAAGTTACCCAGACATCTCACAGATAAGTTATCTTAGAGGAAAAAAGGAAAATGGGCTCAGGAAAGATCTAAGTTGATCTTTGTTAGGGAAAATATCGGCCTAGCACATGATTGCCCACTATAACCTGTTTGTAGTTAGATATTTAATTTTCAGACGATGTTTTCTAGTTACTTTAGGTCTCTGAGTCTGCAAGACTGCCACGTAAGCCTCCCCTGAGCTTGTCAGGTTAGCATGTGGCCCTTTTCGTCCACACCAGTTACTTTGCTTTGGTGTTTCAAGGGGAAAAAGAATCATCATGACCTCTCAGCCACTGAGCATTCATTAAAGGAGAAACTCACAAAGGTGCAGATCTCATTTTATCCTTCTCTGAGGCATCATCCACAGGCCAACAGATCCTGTCCTCCTTCAGAAGGCCCCTCTCCATTGGTGGGTAATTTGAGGTCCACATGAAGGTAGGGAGCAGAAAGGAAAGGATCACCGGATTTCTAGAGAATGCTGGTCCCGTTTAGTCTTTTTATTCCTTTTAATGAAGTCCACTGTGGCTTCTTCTGTCCTCCTCCTGCATCTGAGACAGCAATCACCATTTGCAAAAGCCATTGCGGTTCTGATCCTCCCCATAAGCAAGCTTGCCGGAGGCGAGCGTTATCATGAAGTATGGTGGCACCATTTGGTGTGGGGACACAGCCCCATGGACTGGCATCTGTCCTGCCTGCCGCTCAGTGGGCACTTTTGTGGCCCATAAAACATGGCTACAAATTTACTTCCAATGACCTGTAGTCAAGAGTCTCTTCAATTAGTGGTGGGAGGGCATGAATCTGGATGCAGTTCTGGATTTGCTACTAAGTGCCTCTCAATGGGATTTTCATTCCCCTTCTTCCCAAGAAATCTGGCTTTGGGGTCAGATCTCCTTCTTGAGTTTGTTGGAGACAGTGCTACCGTGTTTCCCCGAAAATAAGACATCCTCCGAAAATAAGACCTACTTACAGGTTTCCTTCTGAGTGAAATATAAGGCATCCCCCCGAAAATAAGGCCCCTCCTAGGCTAAACATGAGAGATTTGGTCCACTGATTCGGAAAGAAATAGAATCACAAGAAATTCACCAGGAAATTCAGAAATTGGATTGTTATGATGATGTTCCAGAAGATGATGACATGATTGTCATTGAATAAATGAGTAAATTCTTGATACTATAGGATTCACAGTTTGTCTGGTTTGAGTTGACAACTACCGTACTACCGTACCGTATACAGGTAATAAATTTCCTTTATTTTCATTTAACAATAAATGTGTACCGTATTCTTCTTCATGAAAAAATAAGACATCCCCTGAAAATAAGACCTAGCACATCTTTGGGAGCAAAAATTAATATAAGACACTGTCTTATTTTCGGGGAAACAGGGTAGGAGCTGGAATAAGGGTTGTGATTAGAGGTGTGGCAGTCATTCTGAGGAGGCCTGGACTAAGGACTTAGTAACTGGCTCAGGTTGGGGGCTGATATGTGAGGCCCTATAAGGTCAAGTGGCTTTGGTGGATTCTCTCTTTAAAAAAAAAAAAAAAAAAAAAAAAAAATATATATATATATATATATATATATATATATATTTTATCAATATATATATTGATAAAATATAAATATATATTGATAAAATTTAAATCAATATATATATTGATTTAAGAGAGAGAGAAAGAGAGAGAGAGAAGGAGAGAGGGGAACATCGGTTTGTTGTTCCACTTATTGAGTCTTCCACTTATTGACATATAAGTGTCAACTGACCAAGGATCGAACCCACAGCCTTGGCTTATCGGGACGAAGTGCTGAGCTACCGGCCAGGGCTGGTGGGTTCTCCTTTAATTGCACTTTGGAGTGAACACAGGGTTGGCTGGCAGGCTCATGGAAGCCTGCAGGGGTAAGCTTAGGAAAGCAAATCGGATGCACGTTGGGAAGGCTGCTTGCTGGGGGGTGCATGGGCTGCCCCTAGCGGGTTTTATGGTTCTTTAGGAAAAGGCTACCCGGTTTTTAAAACCTACCTGTTGGGGTACATTTTGACTTCTGCCAGTTAGCCATTTTGCCTGATAATGGCAGTGTGACCCAAATATGTCACATGTGTGTCAGATATTTAAAAAGCTCCTGTGCAGGGTGTCATCAGTGCCAGCCAGACCCATCTCTTGTGTCTTTCCTATGTGTGGGAAGGAAAAGGTTTTGTAGATGTATTTCTCTGTAAGAGTTTGGCATTATACTTCTAGAGATTGGTAGAAAGCTAATGGAATTCATATAAACACATAATTAGAGGTACATATAAAACATACTTGTTTGAAATGTTTGGCTTTTTTGAGCAATTAGTAAGTTGTCAGCTGTTTCCTTTCCCCATATTAGCTTCCAGATGATTAATTGGATTGTTTAATTAAACGCTCCACATTTAAGTGGAGTGGAGGCCCTGGAAGGAGACTTCTGAAATAATATTGTTTTCTATTGATCTGCAATACACCATATGGCTTGCTTCTACTTAAAGATGTTCAATTCTACAATCACAGTCTTTTAAAATAATTATTTACTGTTCTGAAGTGAAAAGACTATTAAAAAAAAATCTTAAGGACAATCTCAAAAATTCTCTTTTACTGCATTCCAGAGGAGCAAGCCGGGCCTGAGACGAGAAACCCTGGTCTGCGGCTTGCAGTGTTCGGAGGGGTAGCTGGGCTATTTTTAACGAGCGCAAGCGTATCCTGTGGTGGCCGATTTCCAAGGATCCAAAATTAGTCCTGGGATCTTGGACACCACAGTGCCAAGGGCTCAGACAGTCGGCCCCCCAAACTTCTTTGAATTGTCAACCTCAGTCTCACACCAGGATTGATGGCTTTGGCCAAACAGTACATCATTGTTTGGAGAAAACAAAAGGATAACCTCCTTTTGAGCGCAGAGGTTAGACTCTGCAGGATTAGGGGCTCGCCAGGTGGGTGTGAAGACAATGGGGAGCAGTTCCTAGTGCCTGGAAGGTGTCAGTCTCTTGGTGATGAGGGCAGTTAAATGCCTCACAGGGGCAGTGTTATTTTAACCGTGGGGCATGAAGGAGAACAGCTGAGGTTTTTTTTCTCCCTTCTTCTGTTTTGTTTCCATGAAAAGGAGGTCAAAGGAGCAGGTTGACCAGACCTCAGGACTGGAAAGGCTAGGTCATCACCTGGGCCTTTCATCGGAGGAGAAAAGGAGAGATACTGTTACCCCCGCTTCTCACACATGTTGCCCCCAATCATCTAGAGACAAATGACCCATTCGTTCTGAAAGAATTATATTTACACGTTCCCACGACTCCAGAAACGCCTCATTATTAAATCCACGCGCAGCATATAGTTGTCCTGGGTCAGGCTCATTGATGACTGGGATTCCCTGAGGCTTTCTGCTTGCTTACAGATGGATCCATGGCTCATAAGGAGATGGGCTAATTTTTAATTGCTTTCTTCTGACAAACCCTGTCTGCTGTCCTAACTCAAATGGACATGGCAGACAGGAAGTGGATCCAATTGAAAGGAAGGGAAATGCACTTGGTACAACTAGAGTCTTATTTGTGGCATGCTGACTGCCTCCTAATTGATGTAGACATCGCACAGAATTCCAGAGTGTGGACGCTGCTGTGGAGGCTGACCAATGCACCTCTGTCTCCAGGCGGGGCCTTTTCTAACCCCCAGAGAGAGCTGAGGGGCTTACACAGGGCCTCTGTTATCACGGGGGCCATTTGTTTTACCACAGCCCAGCTCCAGGGGAGCCCTAGGGTGACAGATAGCATCCAGCCAACCAGGAAGGATTTTCCAGAAACTTCTATGTCAGACCCCAAGCCCTGCCCTGAGAATACAGTGTGAGTAGAGGAAAGAGATGGGTTTGGTTCTCTTGGTCCTGTTTTCCAGGGAGATGTCCCTTGTCTTGGCATGGATGCCATTGTTCTCCAGCCTTCCTCCACAACCCAAGTTGATTCTGCAGCTTCAGCCACACACCTAGGATTCCCTAGAAACTCCAGCCAGATGGCCGAGATGGCAGGCGGCGGGGGGGGGGGGGGGTTGGGGGGGGTTGAGGGGGGTGGGGGGGTGGGGGGCGGGGTGTGTGTGAGTGTGGGAACAATTGGGAATGTTATTCAGTGTCCCACCCATGGAGAGCTGCCTCACTTGCTGGGATGAGAAGGAGGGGTGGGGATTTGGAAGGGGCATGCCCCACTGGCACGGACACATGGTGGGAACCCTGACTCATGGCTCTGTGGAAGGGACCCTCAATCACCGTGCACAGCCGCACCTATCAGAGCACATGTAACTGAGACATGATGTCTTGAGAGGTGAAAACCAGAAGTGGCTTCTGGCTGGAGAAGGAAAAGATAGAATGTTCCAGGCTTCCTTTTCTGGATCTCAGAGAAGTTTGCAGTCCCTTGTGTCTCCGTGGCATCAACAAGAGCCCTTCCTCATTGGGGAGCTGGATGCCGAGACCTCTGTATGATGAGCTCACTATCTAGCGTGGCCCCAAATGTGTGATGTTTCTTAGGGATAAAATTACATGCTTCACCTTCATTGCAGGGCCGTCTTAGTGTCCAGTGCGCTGTGCAGTCAGGATAAAGAGAGGCTGACCCTTTCCCACATTGTAGCTCGGGGTATGAGAAGGAGAACCGGGGCGAGTCAGGTAAGGAAGATGCTCAGTGTCGTCCCGTCGTGTGTGTCGTCCCCCCCCCCCCCCCCCCCCCCCGTCCAGCCTTCCCTGCCGGGGTCAGGGCGTCCCACCTCTCCCTTGTTTCCTCAGCCTGGGGTCTGGTGTTTTGTGGACATTCATTTTTAGAGTGATTGCCAAGAGTCCTAGTAGACTGTGTGCTTCTGCGGAAGGATCATTCTGTCATAAGCTCTGCTGAATCATAAATGCTGCTTTTATCTGAGCTGGGCCATCATCAGCGGGGTCCCTAACGTCAGATGATCATTTGGGATTCATTTTAACATGTATTTTTTGAAATAAAAGGATATAAAGGAGTCTCCTCCGCGCTTTCCCCACTGCCCCAGGGTGTTGTTTAAGACTTGAGAGTCTATTAATTATGAGCATTGTGTCCTTCTGGATGTTTAATTTGGATGTATGTGTTTATGTTATAATTGCCCATCAGTTCTCTGCAGCCGTGAATGCCTCTATGCCGAAAAGCGTGGCTGTCAGTCTAAATGGGCCATCTGAGCTGGCCTGTCGGCACCTGCAGCCCGGTGGGAGCACTTTTTATTTTTTTTAATACTGGGTCTATCTCTTAATGAGTTAGCCCAATAGGAAAGAGCTGCCGACTTCCCTGTGTGACACACAGCTCTGGAAGCAGTCACTCCGAGAAAGCCGGGCAAGGCACAGATCCAGACAGCAGGGCATGGACAGCAGGGCACGGGAAGAGGTGCTTCCTGCTAGCCGATGCCCCTGAGCGCCCATCTGCCCAGCCTGCTCCTGAATGTTCCTCCTTCAGAGACCACACCGGCCACCCAGCCCTTCGGATACTATGTTGAGTCTGAGCGTGACTGTTAGGGCTTCAGGGTGCTTAGATTTCAGATACATAACTCTTCCGAGGCCCCAGTTCCAGTGACCCAAGGGGGCGTGAAGCAGGGATTATCTGAGATGAGCAGAGGAAGAGTTGAGTGATACAGCAGGTTGCCCCCAAATAACTTAAAAAAAAAAAAAAAAAATATATATATATATATATATATATATATATATATATATATGTGTGTGTGTGTGTGTGTGTGTGTGTGTGTGTGTATATATACATATATATATATATATATATATATATTATTGATTTTTTACAGAGAAGAAGAGAGAGGGATAAAGAGTTAGAAACATTGATGAGAGAGAATCATCGATCAGCTACCTCTTGCACACCCCCTACTGGGGATGTGCCCACAACCAAGGTACATGCCCTTGACCAGAATCGAACCTGGGACCTTTCAGTCCACAGGCCGACGCTCTATTCACTGAGCTAAACCATTCTATGCACTGAGCTAAACCGGTTTCGGCCCCAAAGAACTTTTACTTCCCGAGTTAACCCTTTCTCCTCCAGAAGAGCTTTAAACAGAGTGAACTTCATGGTTCCTTTCAAATATACCATGGAACTTTATGAGGACTGAAATACCAAGAGGAGGCCAGGATTGGAGAGCAAGTTGCTAGTTGATAGTGGGAAGAAATATATGATGCTGGCTCCGGTTCAGGGAATGTCTTCCTAAAGGCCTTTAGGTCCATGTCTGAAAGATTCCTGGCACAAAGAGCTCCCATGCTTTATTTTGGTTTAATTGGAGTTTATTAGTTGTAATATCAGGTCAGTAGCTGACCATGAACTGAAGTCTCCAGTCCTATCCCCTGACCCCCTGGGGAGGGCTGTGCAGCTGGTGGAGGAGCAGGTGGGGAAGAGCAGGCTGCCTCCTGGGCCGGCCACGGGCACCTGACCTCTCAGGAAGGTGCTGACAAGCGTGGCAGCCAGAGAGAAGCTGTGAGGGCTTTTGCTTAATTAAACCACCTGGAAATGATGGCGGAAAGCTCCTCTCACCCATGGCCTGGCCGCCATCATCAGCTGATTCCTCGGGCGGTGGTGTGGCTGACAGCTGGTTGTGTTTTCAAAGCTGTGGGAATAGCCAGAACCATCTGCATGCAGCGCTACAACCGGCTCCAAACTCAGAAAAGGCTACCCTGGCGCCTGGGTATGGGTTTTCCAGAAGTACCACAATCTGCAGATAAAATCGCTCCATCTTAAAGATTACTTAAGGGCAGCACAAGCAGAAATAAACAAGTGGGGCTCCATCAAGTGGAAAGGCGCTCTGTGGAATGGGAGGAAATATGTTTGCAAGTCACATATCTGATAAGGGGTTAGTATTCAAAATACATAAAGAACTCAAACAAAATGCCCCACAAATAATCCAATTAAGAATGGACAAAAGATCTGAGTAGACATTTTTCTAAATATGACATACAAATGGGCAATAGGTACATCAAAAGGTGCTTAACACTGGTAATACTCAGGGAAATGCAGATCATAATGACATACCACCTCACATCTCTTGCAATGACTAGCATCAAAAAGATAAGAAATAGCAAGTGAGCATATGGAGAAAAGGGACTCTTATGCTTTGTGGTTGAGATTGTGAATTGGTGCAGCCACTAGGGAAAACAGTGTGGAGATTCCTCAAAAAATTAAAAATAGAACTACATCATGATCCACTGATTCTAGTTCTGGATATTTATCTGAAGGAAATAAAAACACTAACTTAAAAAGACATCACTCCCATGTTTTTTTTTTTTAAATATATTTTATTGATTTTTTTTTACAGAGAGGAAGGAAGAGAGCTATAGAGAGTTAGGAACATTGATGAGAGAGAGTCATCAATCAGCTGCTTCTTGCACGTCCCATACTGGGGATGTACCCACAACCAGGGTTCATGCCCTTGACCGGAATCGAACCTGGGACCCTTCAGTCTGCAAGCCGAGGCTCTATCCACTGAGCCAAACCGGTTTCGGCTTCACCCCCATGTTTATTGCAGCATTATTTATGCCAACCAAGACATGGAAGCAGTAAGTGTTCATTGATGGATGAATGGCATATATGTATACACACACATATATATATTATGTATAGTATACAGCAGAGATTGTCAACTGGTATGCTGTAAGAATTTTTAGAACATGCGATACTAGACTAATTACTTAGGGGCACTGACCTTTTCCCACAGATTGTCAAATAAAAATTGACAACAGCCAACACAACAAATAAACACCCAGTGTGAGTGAATCAAAATTACAGTTTTTTTTGTCAGGTTGGCAAAAAATATACTCTATTTTTTTTTTAATTTGTCCCAGAATTTCAGTAATTAATTTGTGTGTGCCATGAGATGAAAAACGTTGAAAATTGCTGGTGTATTGGAACTGACAAAATAGATGTGTAATCACTTGCTTAAGTCTATCACACTCGACTTCATTTCTATGAAGACAGGATTTGGAAGCTAACACTGTACTCAGCAAGTACAACATGCAAATGTCAACTTACAAATCACAAAATGAGTGATCCTTTTCACTCAAGTAGATTTTTTTTTAATGCCACCAGAAAGATTGCAGCATTTCTTTAAAAATATAAAGGTCTTCTAAAATGTTTCAATATGATTACAAGGCAGTATAAATGTAGGGATTATGGGAGAGGGTTTTGGATGAGGTGGTCAGATTTGTAGCTCACCTTCCTCAATTCTAAAATGGTAAGATTAGTTCTTATTAGGTTTTTCTCTTCTCTTCTTTTTAAATATATATTTTTATAGATTTCAGAGAAAGGAAGAGAGAGGGAGAGAGGGATAGAAACATCAATGATGATAAAGAATCATTGATCGACAGACTCCTGCACACCCCCTACTGGGGATTGAACCCATTAACCAGGTATGTGCCCTGATTAGGAATTGAACTGTGACCACCTGGTTCATTCAATCACTGAGCCACATGGGTCAGGATTTTTTTTTTTCCTTTTTTAAAAAAATTGATTTTAAAGGGAGGAGGGGAGAGAGAGAGGAAAAGAGAAATATCGATGTGACAGAGAAACATGGATTGGTTGCCTCCCACAATCCACATGAACCCTGACGGGGGATGAAACCTGTAACTTGGGTACGTGCCCTGACCAGGAATCGAACCCATCACCATTTGGTGTAGGGGACTATGGCCCAGTCAACTGAGCCACAACAGCTAGGGCTGTGAATGATAGAGGCTCTCAAAAGAAATTTCAATCGTAGTACTGTTGATATTTGGCTCTGTTGACTAATGAGTTTGCTGACCACTGGTCTAGACTAAGGCCAGGAAGGAGCTTCCCAGCTGGAGGCATTGCCTTGAAGTCACTGAGGACCCTGATGGTAGGCAGCCTTCCATAATCTGAGTCACCTAAAGCTCAGGAAGGGGGAAGCAGATAATGTGACCAGAAATATGATCTTGTGCTGAAATCAGCACAAGCTGATGTGGCTCAGTTGACTGGGCCATAGTCCCCTACACCAAATGGTGATGGGTTCGATTCCTGGTCAGGGCACGTACCCAAGTTACAGGTTTCATCCCCCGGATCCTGGCTCTCTGCCCAACCACGTCTCACTGGCCACCAGGGAGGATGGAACCAAGAACATAGACTTGCAGCTTGAAGCCCAGTGCCCCAGGGTTCCTGGGACCTTTGGGTGCTGATGGCAAGAAATCACCTCTGGATCTTAACTAAGGCCTGACAGTATTTCTGCTAGAAGATTGCAAAAGCCTATGTTTGAGGTCTGTCTGTCTGTCTGTCTGTTTGTTGCTCCCTAACTAGATAATTCTTGTTTGGTAAGCTGACATCTTCACTGGGCAGTGGAGAGCTGGTTTATGTAATCATAGGCACCTGAGTATGCTGTGAATTAGTTTTGATAAAATCAGTAAACTGTATTACCCTGGGATAGTCCTCATAAATGTGGTCTAGGGTATATTTAATTTTAGATGTATAAACACACACATTTCTATTTATCTACTGGTTTATGTACATACATCCCACATGGCTTTCTTGCTTAATCCTAAACTTGAATGTTGCCACTGGTTTTTAGTATGCATTTGGGTAATTGATGAGAATGGAAAGGAGGAGACTTTCCCAGCTCAGGGGACTCCCCTCCTCTTGGGAGCATTGCTGTCTCCTG